TGCTGCAAACTTACAAAGGAACTTTTTGCTTGACTTCTGTGAGAGCAGCTTCAGTCAGCAGGCTTCTGGACAGGCACCTGAAGAACCTGCAGTGCTGTGGATTACAGAGGAGGTGAGCTGAACACAGAAGCATCTTGCCTGGCTGAAGGTCACAGTCCCCAGGGAGAGCTATGAGGACACTGACTGGACCTTTTGCCCTGTGCTTGTGGCGGCAGCTGAACTGTGAGTGAGAGCTTTTGGAGACAAGGCATTTTTGTCAATGTTCATTGATCAGTCTGAGGAGCAGACTGGTTCCTCCAGAACACCTGAAATCACTGTGGGAAGAAAAGCAAAGTCTGAGGAAGGGTGACCTGATGATATTTATACTGTTTCCTTTTGCACAGGTGTGAGCAGAGGAGAGCAGCTGGAGCAGCAGCCTTCTCTCCTGAGTGTCCAAGAGGGAGGAGGCATCTTTATCAACTGCACCTACAAAGCTACTGCTCCTTCTTTCTTCTCCTGGTACAAACAAGAGCCTGGGGCAGGTCTCCAGTTGCTTATAAAAATCCTTTCAAATGTGGATAGAAAAGAAGAACAAGGTCTCATTGTCCTACTGAATAAGAAGGACAAACGTCTCTCCCTGAACATCACAGCTGCCCATCCTGGGGACTCAGCCACATACTTCTGTGCAGAGAGTGCACAGTGCTCCCCAGGCAATCACTGCCTGACATAAAACTGAGACCAGGGATGAGAAAAACTTTAAATACTTTTTGAAATAGAAAAAATTTCCACCTTGTAGTTTTAGTAAATGAATAAAACTTGACAGCATCAAGTTGACCTGAGAACATTTTGAAGAAAATTTTACTTAACATGGCTTCTTTTTAAAATTTAAAATTTCTATTTTATGTATATGAGCATTCTGCATGCATTTATTTGTGTGCCCAGTGCTGGCCAAGGCCAGAGATTGCATAGGATCCCCTGGAGCTGGAGTTTCATAATCATCTGTAACACCATGTGCACTCTGGGAATTAAACCCGGGTCCTTTGGAAGAGCAGCCAATTCTCTTAGACCTTAGCCATCTTTTATTTTTTAATGATATTTCTGTTAAGTATTCCTTTTATTCTATTTCGAAGGCCACATGGCTAAAACACAACGAATGATAAACAGCTGTGTATTGCATGACAAGGACAGCTGTATAATGCCCAGGATAGCTAAATTTGGGCTGTCTTGGTTTTTCTTACTATATAACCTTTTCATTTCAATTTATTTGTTTATTTATTTACTTGTTTGTGTTTTTGATACAGGGTCTCACTGGCCTACAACTCGTTGTAGGTATAGACCAGGCTGGCCTCAAACTCACAGAGGTCTACCTGCCTCTGCTCCCAGATGTGGGAATTAAAGATGTGTGCCATCTTGCCAGGCACTTATCATATACTTTTTAAAAATTCTCTCATTTTTGACAATTGCTTACATGTATACAATGTATTTTAAGTATATCCACTCCATTTCCCCTCCCCCTTTTACTCCCCAAATGCCTAACTCGTCTTCCTCCTACCTTGGTGTCTCCTCTTTTGATTACCTTCTGAGTCCATTAATGCTGGAACAGTGACTGATGTTGATTTCATCTTGTGCAAGTGCCTTTGAATTCAGTGATTTTCAGGAGTGCAGTAGGCACATTATGTCCAGAAGACAGCATTTCACAACACTTCTCCCTATCCCCTGGCCCTTACACTCTTTCTGCCCCCTCTTCTTAGATGTTCCCCGAGCCTTGGGCAGCAGTTAATACAGATGTCCCATGTAGGGATGAAAACTCTTGCTCCTCAACAGTATGAGCTGTCATTTCTGTTTGTGATCATAGCTGTTCTGACAGGTGTAAGATAGAATCTCAAAGTCATTTTGGTTTGTATTTCCCTGATAGCTAAGGATGTTGAACATTTCTTTAGTGTTCCTCAGATATTTGAGGTTCCTCTGTTGAGAATTCTCTATTTAAATCTGTATTCCTTCTTATTTTTTGAGACAGAGTTTCTCTGTATGTAGCACTGACTGTGGCCACCACTGTGGAACCCAGATGCAGAGAAGGACGAGTGAAGAGCAAAGGGGTCCAGACCAGGCTGGTGAAACCCACAGAAACAGCTGACCTGAACATCAGGGAACTCTTGCTCCCCAGACTGATAGCTGGAATACCAGCATGGGACTGAACCAGACCCCAGGAAAATGGGTTTCAGTGAGGAAACCGCAGAAATCTACAGGACCTGCTGTAGTAGTTCAGTACTTATCCCTAGCATAGGTGTGGACTTTGGGAGCCCATTCCACATGGAGGAATACTCCCTGAGCCAAGACACACGGGGGTGGGCCTACGCCCTATCCCAAAGGATACAATAGACTCTGATGATACCCTATGGAAGGCCTCACCATCCAGGGGGAGCAGAAAGGATATGTGATAGGTAGGGTTTTAGTTGGGGGTGGTGGTGGTAGGGGAGGACGGGAGGCAGAAGGGTACTGGGATTGTCATGTAAAACAATCCTGTTTTTAATTCAAATAAAAAATTAGAAAAAATAAAACAGCACCAAATTAAAAAAAAAAAAAAGGCCTGAAGTCACATTTGTTGATGGTGTTGGTCCACTAGGGGGCACTGCAGGCTTCCCAGAAATAAAAGGGTTGGGCAGTTAAAGAGACCAGACAACCAGACAACATGTGAGGCTGCCAGTCACAGATAGCAAAGTTCATTCCTGGTCATTGGCTTTGCTATTCTATGGTAAATCTTGAGGAGCCTAGAAATTTACTGTGAGAATGATTTTTTGAGGAGAGATAAGGAACTAGAATTTTACTGGTCAAGGTGATGTCTGATGCTCACAGAAGACATCTTACTCTGTGACTTACAGTTTTAAAACTTTATGATAAAAATCCCTGGAGTTCACTGACCCAGAAATTATTCCAATACCTGTGACAGCAAAACTTTACATTATCTCTTCTCAGACTAGCAGGAAGAAGAATAATTAGTTGAGAGGAAGAAAAGTAATGTCACAAAAACAGAAGAAGAAAATACAGAGAACACCACTGAACTTGACCAGCCATGTGTGGTCTGCAGGGTGCAAGGCAGGAACTGGAGAAGGACAGAGGTAGAAAGTGACTCAGGGTGAATGTTGTATGCATAACCTCTTGTTTTAAAAGGTGGGAATTTCATTGGAAACATTCCTTTGCAGAGGGTGACCTGCTGACTTCAAGGAAGTGTATTTACTCCTCAACCCATATTGCACTTCTTCAAAGAGTTACTTTTATAAGAGTTTTCATGCAACTGATTTCTCAAATTCTGTCAAACTATGGAATTTAAGGAATGGCTTACTCTCTCTATCCCTCTGTGTTCTGCAATATAAGTAGATCTCAGCCCTTTCCTGATACATCATCCCTTACTTTTCAAATTTTCTCTCAAACTCTCCCTTCAAATGTTACAACAAACAAACAAACAAACACAAGCAAGCACACTAACTCTCTTCAGTTTCAAGCTGTAGGTGGCATGACCTCCTGTTTTCCTGCAGGGTTTTCATCCACAGCTTGGGAGCAGTTTCTGTGAGGTCTCACTTGGCTGCTGTGGGCGTGGTTTTCCATCAAGATGAAAGAGCTCAGATTTTATTGGTGCCTGGAAAATGAGGGAGAGCCTGCTGCCTGAAAGCTAGACACTGTCTGGAGCTGGGTGAAGGCACCTCAGCAGTTTGACAGGATCCATGGAGAGGAGCCTGGGAGCTGTGCTGGGGCTGCTGTGGGTGCAGGTTTGCTGTGAGTTGTGGCTCACCCAGATGGATTAGGGGTGTTCCAGAGCCCCTAATAGAGCAGAGGGGGCAGAACAAAGCTGGCCCAAAGCTCCTCATGGCTGTCTCCAGGGATATAGGACAGGGTGGAAACCGCGGAATGATGGTCCCATCATATGTCCTTTTTTTCCTTTCTCTGAGCAGGGGTGAAAGGCATGCAGGTGGAGCAGAATCCTCCATCCCTGAGCCTCCAGGAGGGAGCCGGTTCTGCTCTGAGATGCAATTTTTCTCTCACCATGACAAATGCTCAGTGGTTCCGACAGAATCCCGGGGGAAGCCTCATCAGACTGTTCTTCATGACTCCGGGAACAAAGGAGAATGGGAGGTTAAAGTCAATATTCGACTCTAAGGAGCGCTACAGCACTCTGCACATCAGGAACGCCCAGCTGGAGGACTCAGGCACCTACCTCTGTGCTGCTGATGCACAGTGCTCCCAGCAAGCCTGAAGCCTGTCCCAAAACTGCAGCTGGGTGTGCAGGATACCCTATGGAAGGCCTCACCATCCAGGGGGAGCAGAAAGGATATGTGATAGGTAGGGTTTTAGTTGGGGGTGGTGGTGGTAGGGGAGGACGGGAGGCAGAAGGGTACTGGGATTGTCATGTAAAACAATCCTGTTTTTAATTCAAATAAAAAATTAGAAAAAATAAAACAGCACCAAATTAAAAAAAAAAAAAAGGCCTGAAGTCACATTTGTTGATGGTGTTGGTCCACTAGGGGGCACTGCAGGCTTCCCAGAAATAAAAGGGTTGGGCAGTTAAAGAGACCAGACAACCAGACAACATGTGAGGCTGCCAGTCACAGATAGCAAAGTTCATTCCTGGTCATTGGCTTTGCTATTCTATGGTAAATCTTGAGGAGCCTAGAAATTTACTGTGAGAATGATTTTTTGAGGAGAGATAAGGAACTAGAATTTTACTGGTCAAGGTGATGTCTGATGCTCACAGAAGACATCTTACTCTGTGACTTACAGTTTTAAAACTTTATGATAAAAATCCCTGGAGTTCACTGACCCAGAAATTATTCCAATACCTGTGACAGCAAAACTTTACATTATCTCTTCTCAGACTAGCAGGAAGAAGAATAATTAGTTGAGAGGAAGAAAAGTAATGTCACAAAAACAGAAGAAGAAAATACAGAGAACACCACTGAACTTGACCAGCCATGTGTGGTCTGCAGGGTGCAAGGCAGGAACTGGAGAAGGACAGAGGTAGAAAGTGACTCAGGGTGAATGTTGTATGCATAACCTCTTGTTTTAAAAGGTGGGAATTTCATTGGAAACATTCCTTTGCAGAGGGTGACCTGCTGACTTCAAGGAAGTGTATTTACTCCTCAACCCATATTGCACTTCTTCAAAGAGTTACTTTTATAAGAGTTTTCATGCAACTGATTTCTCAAATTCTGTCAAACTATGGAATTTAAGGAATGGCTTACTCTCTCTATCCCTCTGTGTTCTGCAATATAAGTAGATCTCAGCCCTTTCCTGATACATCATCCCTTACTTTTCAAATTTTCTCTCAAACTCTCCCTTCAAATGTTACAACAAACAAACAAACAAACACAAGCAAGCACACTAACTCTCTTCAGTTTCAAGCTGTAGGTGGCATGACCTCCTGTTTTCCTGCAGGGTTTTCATCCACAGCTTGGGAGCAGTTTCTGTGAGGTCTCACTTGGCTGCTGTGGGCGTGGTTTTCCATCAAGATGAAAGAGCTCAGATTTTATTGGTGCCTGGAAAATGAGGGAGAGCCTGCTGCCTGAAAGCTAGACACTGTCTGGAGCTGGGTGAAGGCACCTCAGCAGTTTGACAGGATCCATGGAGAGGAGCCTGGGAGCTGTGCTGGGGCTGCTGTGGGTGCAGGTTTGCTGTGAGTTGTGGCTCACCCAGATGGATTAGGGGTGTTCCAGAGCCCCTAATAGAGCAGAGGGGGCAGAACAAAGCTGGCCCAAAGCTCCTCATGGCTGTCTCCAGGGATATAGGACAGGGTGGAAACCGCGGAATGATGGTCCCATCATATGTCCTTTTTTTCCTTTCTCTGAGCAGGGGTGAAAGGCATGCAGGTGGAGCAGAATCCTCCATCCCTGAGCCTCCAGGAGGGAGCCGGTTCTGCTCTGAGATGCAATTTTTCTCTCACCATGACAAATGCTCAGTGGTTCCGACAGAATCCCGGGGGAAGCCTCATCAGACTGTTCTTCATGACTCCGGGAACAAAGGAGAATGGGAGGTTAAAGTCAATATTCGACTCTAAGGAGCGCTACAGCACTCTGCACATCAGGAACGCCCAGCTGGAGGACTCAGGCACCTACCTCTGTGCTGCTGATGCACAGTGCTCCCAGCAAGCCTGAAGCCTGTCCCAAAACTGCAGCTGGGTGTGCAGCTACAGTCCTGCCACAGGGAGACTCTGCAGGAGGCTTTTGCACAGCTGTGGTGGTGGTGGTGGGGGGGGGTCCCAGTTTATGCTCTATCTCCACTAACGCTAGACTGTTCAGGACTGCTGGGTTACATTATTGTACCCTTTCCTTACAGATCCCCATTTTTAGGAACAAATTCTCATGAAGAGTAGTGGAACAATGGACAAAGTTCAGAGTACTGTCAGGGAGATCCATTGGCACAGTGTTCACTACTCTTAAGTCACTGTTCTGATTTTTCAGAAGGAATGAGATCTGTCCTATTGTAGGCCATGCCCTTTTTTATGGTCTCTGGGGGCTCTGTAGAACGCCAGAATTAGTGATGATCCATTTTGTTAGTGAATTATTACAAAATGAGAGCAAATAAATGGGCCTATATGCTGCTACATAGCATCTCAGACAGTTGTTACAAGTCATTTACAGTTTAGGAATTCTCATTCTGTAAATTGAAAACTTGAGGCCTCATTGCTGTGCAAAGGTCCACAGGCTCAGAAGGGGAGGTGAAGTTTTTCAAACGAATCAACTATGAACAGCAGGATATTGTTTTCTCACTTTATTAGTTCTTTGAGACGTTCATAACATACACTCTGATCATATTCATTTCTCCACCAATTCTCAGCAGATCTACTTCTTACTCACCCAGATTCTCACTCTTCTTTTTGTAACAAAACAAAACAGAACAGAAACTTCAAGCACAGTTTGTGCTGTCCATAACTCCTGGATGTGTGGCCTTCACTGGAGTGTGGTTGACCTACTGGGGCCATACCCTTAAAGAAAACAGAGTTTTCCCTCTCCTAGTAGCTATCAGGTACCGACATGTCCTTAGTTAGGGGTGGGAATTTTCCTATCCTTCATACACTGGGAATTTTGTGTAGCTTGGACTTGTGTAGGTCTTGTATGTGGTATTCCAAATGCTTTGGGATCATATAAATTAATTACCCTTATAACTGAAGATTCAACGATAAAATGCATGAGTAGTAATTTTGAATTACATTTAAATTATATTGGTTTGAATGAAAATTGTCCCCATGGGTTCATATATTTGCATACTTTGTCCCCAGTTGATGGAAAGCATTAGGGAAGTATGGCCTTGTTGGAGGAACAGTGGGAGGAGGTGTGTCACTACAAGTGGGCTGTGAGGAAAAGGTCCACACCAGGCCCAGTATCTCTTTGTTTGCCTGCTGCCTACTGATCAGGATGGAAGATCTCTCAGTTACTTCTTCAGCACCATGCTGGTCAGCTGCCATGCTCCAGGCCATGATGATAGTGGACTAATCCTCTGAAATTTTAAGCAATCCCCTAATTAAATTTCTTCTATAAGTTTCCTTGGTCATGGTGTCTCTTTACAGCAATAAACAGTAACTAAGGCACAGATCATGAAGCCATTTTCACTTTATCTGATCTCCACAACTTACAAAAAATGTCTCAGAAAGTATTAGATCATTAATATATACGTAAACATTTACAATAAAGAAGACTCACACAAAACTCATTTGTATTAGTAGTTAAATCATTTCAGAAAAATTGTTCCACTACTGTCATCAAACCTGGATTTAATATAGCCTGTGTTTTCAAATAATTCATTAGATGTGTCTGTTGCTGTTGACACAGTACATAAATAGCCTTAAGAGCTCAAGTGTCAGCTTTGTCATTTCTCAAATTCAAAAGTCGTCAAATATGTCTTTTTCAGTTTACATTTCTGAGGCATAACATCATTTTAATTATTTTATATATGCACATGTAGTTATTTATATATTATATGTAATTTGGGATAAGTAGAAAATAATATGATTGCCCGTTGCCTTTTCAATCACCATTAAATTTATTTATTGCTCATCTCTACTTCTCTCCATGCTTTGCTCTCTGTCCACACTCTCCAGGTAAAGTCCCCTTCACTTTTTCCATTTGCCATTTCATATCACCTGTATCCTGCTATTGCATTCTTTAGGGCTCCTTTTCCCAAATTTCCTCTTAGTCTTGGCTTATTTAGATTACTCTAGAGGTTACACAATCTAAAGATTTAGAGCTAGCAACCACAAATAAGAAAGAAGATGAGGAATTTGCCTTTCTGGGTCTGGCTTACAATAGAATATTTCCAATTTTCTGCAAATTTCATTTTTCTTTACAATTGAAAATATTCTACTATGTATTGGAACCACATTTTCATTATCTATTCATCAGTGAAGATCACTTAAGTTGTTTCTATTTCCACCGTTTGTTAATAGAGCAGCCATAAACATGGCTGAGCAAGTGTCTGTGGAGTAGGATGTAGTTGGAAGCTTTTATGTGTTCCATCTGGTCCCCCGGACCAATTTCTCTCTGCTTACTGGGTCCCTGCAGCCGCTTATAAGATAACCACTCAGAGACTTAATATATATTTATAATTGGGCAATGGCTTATGCTTATTACTGGCTAGCTCTCTCTCTTATAAGTGAACCCATTTCTACTAATCTGTGTATCACCACGTGGCTGTGGCTTATCAATGATGCCCTGGCATATTGCCTCCCTGTTGGCTATGTGGTGTCTCTGACCCTGCCTTCCTTCTCTCTGTATCTTTGTTTGGATTTCCCACCTGGCTTTACTCTGCTTAGCCATTGGCTGAAACAGCTTTATTCATCAAGTGGAAAAAGCAACACATATTCACAGCATACAGAAGGACACCTCACATCAGTAGGATGTTGAGTCCTTTGGGCATATGCCAAGGACCATTATAAATGGTTCATTCACTAGATTTAACTTTATCTTATTGAAGATTTTCCACACTGGTTTCAAGAGTGGCTTGAATTCTGACTAACCATAAATGAGGATTCCCTTTTCCACACATCCTGGCTAACATTTTTTTCTGCTATTGATTTTGGATAATCTGATTAGGATAAGATTAAATCTCACAGTAATTTTAACCTGTATTTTCCTAATTTCTAAGGATAATGACCACTTTTTGAGGTATTTCTTAGCCATTTTTTATTTTTTCTTTCCAGAAAATTTGTTTAGATTCATTGTTTTCTTGACCTTTTGTGTTTGAGTTTTCTGTATATTGATACTATAAATCTACTGTCATATGTATTGCTGGCAGAGATTCTCTCTGATTCTGTGGCCTTCATTTTCATGAATTTTTTTTTAGCTGTGCAGGTTTTTGAGGTTCCATTTGCCAACTGTTAGTCTCAATTTGGGGCAAATGGATCCCTATTCATAAATTCCTTTTCTATACCTATACCCTGTAAGGTAATTCCCATATTTTTTATAGCAGTTTTATGTTTCATACTGAGGTCTTTGACACTTCTGGAGTTAGTTTTTATGCAGTGTGATAAACCTGGGTCTGTATTCATTTTTTTATATGTGGACACCCAGGTTTTCTAGTAATATTTGCAGAAGGTGCTATCTCTTCTCCAATGTGTACTTTTGTCATCTTCTTCAACTACCAGATGGCTGTAGTTGTGTGTAATCCTGTTTGTTCCAGTGATCTACCTGTTTGTCATGCTGTTCTTTTTATTACTGCAGATCTGCAATATAGCTTTAAATCATAATGATAATGTCTGCAGCATTCTTCTTTTTACTCAGTATTGTTTTGGCTATCTAGAGCTTTTATTTGGTTTCATGTAAATTTTAAGATTTTTTCTATTTCTGTGAAGAATGTTGTGGGGATATGATTGGGATAGCATTGAATCTATAAATAGTCGGGCAGAATGGCCATTTTCACAGTATTATTTGTAGCAATTGATTATTATAAGAGGTCTTTTTAGTGTGTTTCTCAATCTCCCTCTTTAGAGATACAAAGTTTTCATCATAGAAGTCTTTTACCTCCTTGGTTAGTTTATTCCATGATTTTTTAAATTATTTTATAAGAATATTGTGAGTGAGTATGGCTATAATCTTTTTCTTAGTATTTTTGTTGTTGGTGTATTGAAAAGGTTTTCTCAAGTTGATTTTGTATGTTGCCACTTCACTGAAATTAATGATCATTTCCAGATTTTTTTTCTCACAGAGCTTTTTGGATATCTTATACATATTATCATATTTTCAGCAAATAGGGATAATTTGACATATATATATATATAGATATACATATCTATATATATCCATTTAATTTTCATCTCTTATTGTACTACCTAGTGTTTCAAGCACTATACTGAAAATGAGTGGGGACAGTAGGCAGGCCTATCTCACTCTTGATTTTAATAGATTGCTCTGAGTTTTCTCCATTTAGGAGGAAGTTGGTTTAAATAATATGTAACTGTTACTTTGTTAAGGCATGTTTCCTAAGTCGCACTCTCTCAGAACTTTTATCATGAAAGTTTTCTTGATTTTGTCAAAGAATCTTTCTATATCTATTGGTATGATCATGTGATTTTTTTTACTTTTATATGATTTATTGTATATATTATTTATCAATATACTAATATTATTATATGATTTGTATGCTGCTTTATGTATGTTGGACTACCTCTGTATGTCTGGGATAAAGCCAACTTGTTCCTGGTGGATGATTTTTTTAAAAATATGCATGTATTTGTTACAAGTAGTAATTGAGAATTTTTTTATGTATGCTCATTGTCAGAACACTGTCAAAAGAATGAGACATGGTGAACAATGCCTGGGGAAACTGTGAGAGAGGCTCCGGGATAAAAGGCCTTTTACCTCAAGTGCATTTTGTTCCCTGGATTTTTCTTGAATATGAGTTCAGGTTTTCTGTGTTAAACATTTACATTCAATTTATGAGATGTGCTTTTTCTTGTTGGATGTCAGATCATAGCTATAGAATCCAATGTGGTGAAGGGTATGCTGAGCGCTTTCTTCAGTGAAGCTGAATTTGGCAATCTGCCTTGCTGTCATGCTTTCCCGGATGTAGTCTATAGTTTGTGCCAGGCAATTGTGATTAAATTGGTCTCAACTAAAACAAGTTCTGGGAAAGGGCTGATCTGTTAATATTTAGTATATGC